AAGCAAGAGGACGGTTCTTGCGCCGCTTCAATACAGTATGAACAACTAAATTGGTTTGCGACAAATTCTTGGGAAGATCTTTATACAGCACTGGATGGAAAAAAAACCGATGATGATTATAGGCGCTCTTGCTAACCATAAGCCTGAAATAAACATAACCTTTACTTACAAAAGCTAGTTGTCGTTAATTGCCATTAAAATCGCCACGTGTGTCTTCTCTGGATCTACAAGGCGACTGTGATGGTCGGTGAAAGCACCTCAGTGAAAACGTGGCCAGGTAAAAATATTGCCAATGAAGATAGTGGAGAAAATAAATATTGCCCACGAAAATATTTACCTCATCATCCTTTCATGCTGTAAGTGCGTGCTGATCAAACATTGTGATTTCTACGGGTCAGACTTACGGCACTTGAAAAAGCAAACGGACTATTATTAATTACTGGCGAATATCTTCTTACTAGGCCCAAAGAAATTTTATCGTTCCTTTGGCGTTATATCCTCACAACTGCCACTCTTTTGCTGCCTACCTAAATACATTAGCAAAATGTTCCTATGGGATTCTTTTCTCGGCTATGATAATTGGCGCTCCTCACAAACTCGTTGCTACAAATCACGATTCTTTGGAAAGAAGCGCTTAATGCATAAAAAATTCCTTTCCACTGAGTTCTGCAAGGAAATGAAACAAACCAAGCTCCCTGTAAAGCATTTAATCTGTAATGACGTCATGGACCGATTTACTAACATTCCCATTGACTATTGAATTTCAACTAAACGACTACAATGAGATATTCAAGTAACTCTATTGGGAAATTTGCGACTTTCCGTACGGCAGAGACCAACTGTTTCTCGTTTAGCGATGAGCTTCTAAACAAATTCAAGGGACAACTCTGGACTATCGTCCTTTGTTGCATCGTTTTATAAATCTGAATAAAAACTTTTGAGAATATGACCCAGAACACAAGCCCCGAGGTTTATTGAGTCTTTTTAAAAGACATGCAGATAAAATTCTCGCCATCTCTCCGAAAGGTGGTGAAAGAGATGATCCCGACCGTACTGGTCTTTTTTCGCAGAATTTTTTTCTGGCTGTCGAAAGATTAACCAAATTTTCTTCGCCTCTTTTGTGATCTCTGAAAAT